ATTAGTGCTCAGCTGGGGCCTTTTCGCGTGCAGGCTGTGGTTAGCTTCCGTCAGCGTTCTGCAGCGGCTAACGTGTACTCAGGCGATTTCAGAGCAAGGTATTATTTACTCTGCTGACGTCAATGAGAACATATTATCCACTGTCCTTTTCTGCAGCCTGAAAAGAGCACTGGAGCTCAAAGAACACAGCCACCTTCCATACTTTTAAAATTCTACCCAGGGCCTGCTGAGGCAAAGAAAGGTCTGATCTCCTTAGCCTGACATTCACATCACCCAGGCTCTTAGAAAAACAAGTTGTTTTTATTTTAATTCAAGAGGGTTGGAAACATAAAAACAGTACATTTTCCTCGCAGAAAATTACCCCATTTAAATTACCGTTTGGTACAAAGATAATTTATTAAACTGTATTTTAGGCAATTTTCTAACATTGAGTGACAGGTTACATTTTGATTTGTTCACATCAGAGCTATTATGATTTGCACTCAAAATACCAAAGCTATTGAACTCACCAAATTTTTCCTAATTAAAAAAAAAAGCACACAGAAAAAATAACTACAATTAGATTAACTTTATCAAAAGTAACTCTTTCACAGACCAAACATCCAGCGAAGACCACCCTCCTCCCTTCAGAAATAAGCAAATAATCTTGCCCTTTCTACAAAGTGCAAATATTTCTATCACCCTTATTTCTTAAACTGCAGTTCCCAAGGAGAAGCAAACCTCCTTTTCTCTCTGCTGCTTTTCCCTTCAAAGATTTTGGTGAAGGCCGATTTCTTTTACCATCAGTAGTGGGAAGGTATCGCTCACTCGTGTGTTTCCTTGATTCAGCAAATCCTGACCAGATAGGCATCGCTTGGCCAGCGGCAAGTCCCTGTTATCTGTATTTGCTAATTTAACATTATACCAATCTGGGGTCATATTTTTCCAGGATGTTGTTCTGTACTTCTATTTTTAAAGCTCCCCCTACCCACACCCACTTTGCCTCTGGAAAGACAAAGTATTCAATCAAAGCGTGTTATTTTGTTTAACCCTCAAGAGAGTGTCTAAATCGGCACTTTACCTGATGGGATGTAACTCAACAAATGTCCCTCCCTCCTGAGGACCACGGCCTCTCTCATGCTTCTTTCCTGAGCAGCCCCTTTCTTGGGTCGAGTCTGTTGGCCTGCAGTGGGGGGCCGAGGCCCTGCAATTTGGCTCCTTGGCATCACGGAGGGGTGTGCTCTTCTACCAAATATGCTTTAGGAAATGACCATACTTTGTAACTTGGAAAAACTAGACATTTTTGATGTGAGCCCAAACTTCTGTAGTCGTCTGGACAGTGAAAAGGTGGCCAGATGTGGGGTGTGTGTCTCCCTAAGCCTGAAGAGCTCGTCTCCCCAAAGTCAGGCAGCTGTGAGTCAGGAATAAAGCTGCAGGGACAAAGTCACATTCACCAGGGGCTTAACCAAGTTGGGGGTTTTAACAGCTGTTTGCTTTTTGCAAAGTGTGAATTGCTCCTGAGGGCAAAGAGCACAGAATGAGAAGCCAGAAAACGCAAGTGCTTGTCCTGGCTTCTCCACTCACGAGCTCCATGACCTCAAATGCGTCCCGTAAACTTCTGAGGGCTTTGGTTTCCTCAGCTGTAAAAAATGAGGCGTTTCTGTCCCACTCACTTTGTAGCATTGTTGTGAGGCTAAGAAGAGATGACTTGGGAAAGTGCTTGGTAAATTCATGTACAAATATAAGCTACTGCTCCAAAGGACAGCCAAGCTAGAATATTTGGGCAGGAACCATCAAAACTACCACTGGTTAAGTATGGGCAGCACTGAGCTCCTCTGCCTGTTTCTCAATGTGGGCAACAGTATGTGCCTGAATCTGCCAAGTGTGTTGAAATCTGTCCTGATAAGATGTGGCCAGATGATGGGTGCAACCAGGGTGGCTGTGAGGCTTCGAAAATCAGCCAGACCACCTTGATTGGAAAAAAACGGCAAAACAAGTAAGTGATACGGGATGAAACTCCAGGGCTGAGAAGGTCACTTACTTAGTCCATCCCTTGCCAAGCTGGGCAGCACCCTTTGTGAGACAGAAGAGCCACACTCCAGTCACCTCCAGGGCCACAGGTTGGAGGGCCATGTTTTATACTACTGAACCTGTCAGGAGGGCTGTGTAAATTAAAAAAAGTTTTGTATCCAGTTTAGAAACTGAGGCAGATGATACTTCTCTCATCATCCACACTTCACTCTGAAGACAAATTCCGTAAAAATTTCCAGAAGCGACAAAATGATCAAAGATTCCTTCCTGCCTATACAGTTACTCCAACTTAACATTTGTTCTCCAGTTTTTACCTTTGATGTCTAGGCAGAAGGAGACTGAGCAGCTCGGGGGCTATCGAGGAGGCAGTAGTGGCAGCCCTGTCTAGGGGTACAGATGCAGCAAAGGTCAGAGCTGGGCACGGGCCCTGGCACTATTCACTGGGACGATATTGTCAAGTAACATTAAGTACTGTCTCTAGTGGAGGAGGAATGTGAATGTTACCTGGAGTATGAATTTTCTTTAAACAAATAGGGAGCTTAAGTGTAATTGGTGATACCTATTTTAAAAGTAATCAGAGCAGAAAAACTCTGACCCCAATACAGAACCCAGTATTTAAATACCTGGAGTTGGACTAGAGATTGGACGACCCCGCAAAGGAAGCAACACTGGTCTCACTATGTCCATATGTTCTGAACAGCCTGCCCCTAACCAGAGGCTATTCTAATGGCCACACACGTGGGACCCGTTACGAACTACAACTAGAAGCTGCTGCTTTTCACCTTTCTTAGTTTCTGTTGATCACCTTAATCATTCTCTAGCTGAGACTATGCCCTTCTTTCCAACTCTAACAACTACCTAACATCCTTTTATGAGCTGAGCTGCATTAGGCACTAATGGTACCCAGTGTGTGAGCAGAGGTGGGCGAAGCCAGTCCCAGGAGGAGTCCCTTCTGCTGAGGCCTTCAGGGTAGGTGGGTGGTGGGGAGTAAGGTGGAGGGTGCTGCTCACACATGGTAGCCCTCCCTCTCTACAGGGGCCCAGTTCCCCTCCTTCCAGGGGCTAGTCAGGAAGAAAACATGAGAGGCCAGGTCCAACTTTAGTCTCAGTCCCACCTCACTCATTCAGGACACAGTTTAAACACTGGAGAGTTCTTTATTTCTGAGGAAGAAAGGGCCACTGACTTTCTCCTTCCTGGGAGTTATAGTTTGAACTAACAGAGTCCTTTAGTCCCATCTCCTGCTCCTCCTTGGTGGGGCCCAACTGTTTCCCATTACACGGATATTGGAGGGTTATGGTGTAGAAGGCCCTCTGCCCTTTTTCCTTCCCCAGGTAGAGAAAGGGGGCAGCTGGAGATGGTCAGTGTAGCTCACCAGAAATTTAAAAATGGAACACCCGCCTTCTTTCTGTGGTGTTAACATGCTGTGTTTGCCTTACAGGGACCACCATATCAGTTGCATGTATATACTAGAGACACACTTGCCCAACTGGAAATTGCAGAACTAGTGCATTTTTCCCAAAGCAAAGACTAAAATACCCCTGGATTAAAAAAGAACATAAAAAATAAAGTACCACACGTATTGCACTTTTTGCTGAATTAAATTTTTACCTCACGTTCATCTCACCAAAGTCTCTTCAGAGGAGCCTGGTTTACAAGATCATAAAGCTAATGATTATTATACAGTAGTGTACACACTGCTAATGTGAAACAGACTGGAAGAAAGGTCATTATTTCAAAGTATCCTCTCACATAAGAGTTGGTACTAAGCCTTCTTAGTGTTGCTTTAATATTTATAAGGAGAAAACGACCTGAAAGCTTACATGGGTCACTAGTTAGGGAACAGAGCAACAGAGATGAGCAGACAGCTGGGAAAACACCCAGCTGACCAACAGAACCAGTCTCCTCTCACCAGCTTACATCCCAGTGAACACAGATGGTTACAGAATTCAGCGATTTCTGCTTGAAATAAAGAGACAAGCAAATCAGAGCTTAAAAGTATGTTTCAGGAGGAGGGGTCTTGTGACTCATCAGGGGAGTGCCCATGTCATCTCATAATAGTCCTGGGCCACTGCTGGGGACTTTCCGACTTCTATTTCTGGGTTCTCTAACCTTCCAACAACCTCATCTCTCGGCCTAGCTGTCCTACCGTAGCCCCTTGGCCTTGATGGAGGACAGGGGTTTATGCAACTCTGTAACCATGCCATTCCTGCGACTCTGAAACGAGTGGCACCCCATTTTCAATCTGAAAAGCATGTAAATTTCATAAACATTATTTTGGGAAAACATCCTCCTTCAACCTGAACAAATCGAGCCCTGTTTTATAACTGACTTGTTTTTCAAAAACTTGAAACAGATTAGAGATCAATACAGCAAAAATAAGAGGATGAGTCAGAATTTAGCAGATTAAGACTAGGAAGTAATTGTTAACTCTGTTAGAGTTCTGATCGACACCCCATTACTCTCAAGTGAAATGATGTTTATCTACTTCACAAAATCATTTATTTTAAGCACGAGGAGGAAGAAACAATTCATAGAAGGAACACAGTTCATTCTTCCTGGGTTTTCACTGCACGTTGTTAAATCACAAAAATGACAGTTGTCCACACTAACCTTCCTTGCTAACACCCACAGTCCAGCCCCAGCCAGGACACCTCAGCGCAGCAGTCAGGCCTCGTGGGGGGCGGTAGGAGCAGCTGGAATGAAACGCCATCAATTCCCATGCTTCTCCTCACCTGCCTGGACATTTATTACAAAGAGGAAAGGCAACTTAAAGGTGTTTTCTAGATGCAGCATCAGTGTAGTATCTCTCTTCTTTGTGCTTTAAGGAAGATGCTTTGTGCTTAATGCATTCATCTGCCAATAGGATAAGCCATTCTAAAGGCCAGAAATTCTCATCTTTGTAGATAATACTGAATTTGTAACACTTGGATGTTACTGTCCAAATGACAGATTACTCACTACTTCTAGGTATACAGGTAACTAGCTGTAGCTTTTTTTTTTTTTTTTTTTAACTTTCATGAATTGTAAGGGATAAGGTTAAGTTTTACTAGTAATAAAATGTGTGGCAGATGATCTGCTAAACTGGTTAACACATTTGTGGTTCTTTGAATATTGCTGTAATACTTCAACATTTCATTACAAGTCAAAACTTTAGGGAAATTAAGAATGCTAATTCCCACACGGTGGAAAACAAACTCTGAAGTGACTTTGGATTTAGCATTGACATAAATGGAAAACTGTTGGTTTCTACAGAAAAGAAAGAATTAAAGCATGGTCTGGGGAGAAAAGGCACAGCACTACCACTTCACATGGGAGATAAAAGTTCATTTTCCTTGTCCTTAAAATTTCTAAGCCCTATATCAAACTGTCCAAATATACAAAGCTCAATAAACTACTAGCAACATATAGTGTAAAGTCAAAGTAGTTATTACATTTTAAAAGAGACAACAGGTCCTCTAGAGACCAACTGCTCCAAAACCAGAAGTCTCTACAAGAGACCAGTCAGGACCAGCCCGTCTCCCCGGGCTGGTGCTTTTCATGGTTTCTGCAGTTTCTTGCCCCCGCTGCAGTGGATCTCCTGCTGGTTCCACAGGTGACATCTTTGGGGCTCTGAGTACACACACTGACACCATGTAACCCAGGGGCACCTTCTGAAGAGGTGTGTCGCCTGTTCCCACAAAAGGCGACTGTCAGTCTCAGGTCAGTACCAACTCATTTAGTGGCCCCTGAAACAAAGCTCATGATCCACTGCTTTGCGACAGCCTTGGGAACAACTTCCATCAGCAGCTTCGAACGTATAATTCAATGACAAAGTACAACTTTCCTGTGCATCAAGTCCCATTATGCATTGTGGATTTGCCTTTAAGCTTCTTACATGTCGTTGCTCTCTTCAGTGAAAAATATATTGCCTTTTTTTTTGCCTATATATATGCAATGGCACACATTTTTCCTGCTTTCACCAGGTCTTTCCCTCGATATGAACTGGTATAATTCTGCATAAAACCTAGGTCTGAATATCTTCTTATAAAAACATGTGTTGGTGCCTCCCTTGAAGGCTTGCTCCACTTGACCGAAGGGCACGACCTTCAGCCTACAGCTATGTTCCAGCACTTGCCACAGAAAACTCTGTGGTGGGACACAGCCAGGAGGAACCGACTTCCACCCCAGCCAGGCCCTCTGATTCCAGTTGGGCAACCTGATTTTCCCCCATTAGGGACAGGGCAAGAAAATAAGCTTTAAATTTAAAAGGCTGGAATAAAAATAGAAATACACACTCTTCCTTCATTTGACCCACCTCACCTCCTGTGCTGAGATTAATTCACCAGGACATACCCACTGTGCTGTGGATCCACAGCCTCCAGCATTTCACAATCAAAGAGTCCAGGTAACTCAGAGAGGGCTAAACGGTCGTAGCTGGAGGGAGCCTCCTGCAGCCCTGAGCTCCTGGGACAGTCTGGCACTGCTATGCCGCTCGGCTGGGCTCCGTCCATCGAATATTGACAGGGAGTAGGGTAGTCTGGCTCAGGGGAAGCGGCACTCGGCAGTTCACAAGTCTGATACGAGAACGGTAAGGGTGGTGGGGCAGCTCCGGGCTGTTGCGGTGGTGGAGGAGGTGGTGGCGGCGGCTGCTGCTGCTGCAACTGTGTTGGCAGCGGAGGAGGAGCACGGGGGCCTGGCGCAGAGGGCAGGGGCTGCAGCTGCATCTCCTGGTACTGCCTGAGGAAAGGGCTGTACTGCATCTGCTCCGAAGAAGGCTCCAGGACGGGGCTCAGGGGCTGGGCCAGGCTGAACGGCGGCGGCTGCTGTGGCGGTGGGGGGCTCTCCTGGTGGGGAAGGGGTAGCTGCTGACTGGGCTGTGGGTAGGAGCTCTCTGCTATCTGCATCTGGTTAAAGTATGCCTGCAGCTGAGACTGCTTCTGGAGGAAGAGTCGTTTCTGTTGGAGCCTAAATCGGCAATATCAAAAGGAAGAATTTTAAATCTTGTCAAGTATAAGCTATTAGCTTCAGTCACCCTACTTCTCTTTCCCATGGCAGAAAACAAGTTGGAGTAGGAATCAGTTGTGCCTGGTGTCTTATACCTAATCTCATTTTTTTTGCCTCCCCCAATTCTGACTGATCCCTCAGTGTAAAGCAGGGCTTCAAACCGTTCTGCCCGGCTCAATCATGGCTGAGGAAGTGTCACTGGAACAGACCTGAATTTTTAAAACTTGGTGATTCGCCATGGTACCTGGAACAGGAAAAATTATGGTTGAAGCCCAGCTAGAAACTTCAATCTCCCTCTTAGAAAACAAGGGCAGCATATGCACTGCATAAAACCAGATCTCCTGCCCTGCGATTTTGAGCAGATTCGGAAACAGTTCTGCCCACCTCAAAGATGGTGGCCGACTGGGCTACTCTGAATGTGTTTCACTCTCTCCAGTCCTGCTAATAATCCAATCTCAAGCACCAGGCTCCTGAAAGGGCTCACTACGCCTCTTCCAAGTCTCCCATTCCAGGGCTTTCAGCCGTAATTTTTCCTGTTCTGGGTACCGTGGTGAATCACCCAAATTGTAAAACTTCGAGTCTGCTCCTATTTCACTTCATTCGCCATGACTGAACAGGTTCAAACTGGTCCAAAGCCCTGATGTAAAGTGAGCATGAATTCATTTTCTTTTGGACTTTCTCTAAACCTTCTAAGATTTTCTCCCTATGAAGTGAAAGGTGGATTTCCCATCTGGAGTATTTAGAAGGGAAACGACACCTTGGCCTCTGTGGGTGTTTGCAGGTTGATGGACTGAGATGATTCTACCTTGGCCAAGCTGCTTCTACGAGTGAGGCCTGGGCACAGATCACTGCAAGATCTGCAGCGTAACCCACTCAAGTTTTATCAGGTCACTGATTCTGAAAGCTTAGGTCTATTCATATTCAAAACGGGAAAAGCTAGAAGAAATGGAAAACAAGGCATATTTTAGGGCTGCTGTTCCCTGACAGGCCCATACTCCATGGTAACTGCAGTATCTGCATCAGCTATCATGTCTAATGACTGAAAAGACTGTGGCTCACACATCAAAAACCTATTTTCCTATTTGAGGTAAACATGAGTGGGAAAGGACAACATACCCAGCATTCTTGAGCCTTCCACAAAACAAAGTGACTTCTTTGGCCAAAGACCCTCTCTCACCTGTGTTCTTGAAGCTGCTGTTCAAGGCTCCGGGGTGGTTCTTTACAGTAAAGCTGACAGGTGTTCTGGGTCTTTGACAGAAGGCTGGGCTTCTGGAAGAGCAGAGAAATAAGCAGAATATGCTAGCACCTAGGATGGAGTCAGAGTCCCTGGGTGGTGCAAACAGTTAAGTGCTCGACTACTAGCCAGAAGGTTGGCAGTTCAAACCCACCCAGAGGCGCCTCAGAAGACAGGCCTGGAGATCTGTTTCTGAAAGGCCACAGCCTTGAAAGCCTATGGCACACACGGGGTGGCCATGAGTCAGAATCAACTCAATAGCAACTAACAACAACAACAGGATGGAGTCATCAGACTGCTTCTGCCTGGGGAGTGAATCCAAGTGTGTCCTCCAGAACGAAGGGCCTGACACTTGCTCACTGAGACCCCAGTGGAGCCCTGGAGTCTTAAGAGCACTGGGTCAGGAGGCCTGGGCTCATCCCAGTTCAAACCTGCTTCAGTCTTCCACTTCTAAAAAATCCTCTAGGACCATGAGGATTTAAGGAGTTTAAAAACAGTGAGAAGAGTGGAGTTAACTCTTTAGAGCAAAGGTTGCAGTGGCTGCTGAATGAATGAATGAATGATTCATTCTTTATTGGACCTATGCTGTATCATACTTTAAGATTTTCATGTACCAGTACAGAGAACTGATGTTAAAATATTCCAACCTTGTGATTTTCAGTTTATTATTTATTAAGAGGCATAAAATCAGAACAAAGAATCCAGGTTACCCCTTCCTACCACTCAGTGGTGTAACCCTGGGGCCTGAGGACAAATCTTTTCCTGTTGCCAACACAGAGCATATGGCTAAGTCTGAACATGTTTCTAGAAACTACAAGCGCAGAGCCAAACCCACCTGCCTATAAGGAATAAAGCAGCTACCCTAAATAAATACCAAGCAAAACAGGTTTCTGCTTTGCAGAAAGGCAGATTCTGGGTGAGCAAAGTCAGCTGAGACACTAGGAGAGGGCTCCCACCTGGAGTCTGTGCTGCAGGTACTGGGTTTCCAGGCTTTGCCGCCGGGCAAGCTGAGGATGCATGCTGTTAGGGAGACCAGAGACACTTTCCTGCTGCTGAGAAACTTCCTCCTGAGGTGCAAAGGGGTGAAAGAATTTTTTCAATTCTCTATGTGGGGAAAAAGTCTCAATTCTTGGGTTAAGCAACTTTGCAAATGTCCAAGAAGAATCTGAACTCTATAAAACATAATACTCAGAGCTTTTTACATAACCAGTCAACTGAGGGTTATTTGTAGAAAACTTATAAAGGCATTGTCTATAGTAAACTAGTATCTAGTCAGCACGAGAGCAGAGGCTGTGTGTCCCAGGAGGCCATTTCTCTCATGTGGGTCTCTAATACTACAATGTCCTTGATGCACTGAAAACAGACTCAGGATAAAGTTTACGGGATAAACAGCAATACTTATTGTACTTTTAGCAGGAATAAGCCACCTACAGTACTTAATGATGTGATATCACATCCAAAGTAGTGGCAAGAAGCTTCTTATTTGGGTAAAGTTGATGATTTTTATTGTGTGTGGGAGTTCAGGGGAGACTCTAAGAGGCACCCCATATAAAATCTGTCCTGTGAAGTAAAGATGGCTGGAGAATGTCTAGGATGGGTCTAACCTGTCAGCGCCAGGTGGCAGCAACAAGTAAAGCTTTCAGGCTGTGGGCTTTCCAGAAGAACCTGTTTGCTCAAGAACGGGAGTAAATCCTCTAAATGAAAATGACACATTTCAGGACAAGCTCAGGCCTCATACAAAGCCACTGTGTGAAGGGCCCAGGGCACCCACCTGAGGGCAGCTGCCAGCAAGGTCTTGGAGCTGAGGAGCAGCTGATGCCAAGTTAGGGTCAGCCTCGGATCCTATTTGTTCATACAGCAACTGCACTTTGTTCAACTCTAGGATTCCTTTGGTTCTAGCCAGATTCTGAAGATGTTGTCTAAATGCTACAATTCCTGAAAGAAAGCACAAAGACCAAACAGTTTAAATAAAACACAAGGCCTTTCAGTGATCACAGCTGTGACAGCCAACATGGCAGCAACTCCCCCCTAAACTCTTAAGATAAAGGAGTGTTAGAAGATAGAGAAGAAAACAGTCACCTTGGGTGAGGGAGGTATCTGATGCCCGGCGGCCCTCACGGAAGCTCACTGGTGACCTGTTGTGGGCCTCTCGTTTCTGGGAGCTCAGTGCCTGCATGGCTGGGTTGGCAGGTCTCAGGCTTATGAAGCGGGGTGAGGGGTGATTGGCTAACATGATGTCCTTAAGGGAAGGGTTGTCCTCCAGAAAGTTCAGGTCCCTCTGAAGAGACCCCATATCATACTCAGAGTCCACACTGTCGAGGGAGGGGTTGTCACTCATGGAGAAAATTTTCCCTTTAAGAGAAAACAAAACTGATATAACCAACAGCAGCAGCAGTGTTTTGAACAAGTGGGGTACAAAGCATAAACAGCTTGAGCCTTGACAGCTGCAATGTCCTTAATATCCAGCTGAAACACTTTTTTTCCAGAAACTTTTACATGTCTAAACTAGGACTTTCAGGGATCAATTTAATCATCTTCGGATTTCTGGAAAACACCCCACAACCTGCACCCGTAAGATCCCTGCTGCTCCAGGAGAGCCAGAGGCCTTGGTGAATCACACGGTGCTGAGCTGACTCCAGGGAGTCAAGGCAGCCAGCTCAGACATTTCATTGCAATCTCTGTCAGCTGCTCAGCGGGCCTTTTCCTATAGGCAGCTGAACCTAGTCCAGAAAGGAATAAGATATAGACTAAAATCTAGGAATGGACTGGCATTGTTAATACTTCTTGGTGACTGGACTGTGAGAAGGTGCTGTGAAGACTTAACCTGACACTTAGGCCGCACCTGAGCCAGGCACCACGACCAGCTGATTGGTCACTTCTGACAGAGTGTGCCGTCTCTGCCCGCTGCGTGTGGACTGAAACGCTTCGAAGGCGTGGCTGGGCTCCTCTTCGGCCTCTCCTTCGGTCTCCAGCCCTTCATCGATGGAGGTCTCCATCATGTTGCTGGGCAATGACTGGCATCCTTTCCTCACCAGGACAGGGGGCACAGGGTCAAGCAAACAGCCATTTACCTACATGTCGGGGTCGGGGGGTTGAGAGCAAACGGTCAGCTGCTGCTCTGCTGAGGCATTAGAAAAGTCCACAAAGGAAAAAGTGTCAAAATCTGTGGAAAACTAGATATTAAATGAAGTATTAAAAATGTACATCTTTGTTACCAATGACAATGTGTAGGGCAGAAGTCAACTGCACCACTTAGAGGAGACAGAAGCCCATTATGACCCAAACTGGCAGCAATTCCCAGGGTTTTCTGAGTCATCATTATTACAATAAACAATTTTTTTAGTGGTTTCCAGATGCACAGGAGCATATTAGCTTGAGGCCTACCAGTTTTTTTCTTTTTAATAAAGGAGAGGGGAAAGATGAGGTTTTTTTTTTTTCAAATTGCATGGCTCACAGTTAAGAAAAAAGAGTAGTCATCAACATTCTTCTAATTTACAATCACAAAACATACTGGAAGCTTCTAGAGATATTTTTATGTTCAGAATTTAAGTACCTGCCCATTTGATTTTGCTTTTAATTGGTTGGATCAGCCTGAGAATTCCTTAAGACAGACTGACACCACAAAAAGAACTGAAAAAATACTTAAATGGCAAACAGCCAAAGCCTTCCATTATAGAACAACAAATGACTCACAAGCCCAAAATTCCAGCAGAGGCTAATAAGCATCACTGGACTGCATCCACTCTCCTCCAGCAATACACACACCATCTATAGTCCCTGTCCCAGAGGGATGAGCTCAGCATAACTTCTAGGTGAGAACTCTGCCTTCCGACGCAGTTGCCAGGCAAACCACCGAATGGCAGGCAGGAACAGCACACAAAGGGGAGTTGTGGTTGCGAATTCTTCTGGCTGATAAAAGCCCCAAAGAGGAGGCAATTATTTACCTCATTACCTTAACTATTCCCCCGTGGAAATCAATCTGTTTTCTCCTATGACTAGCTGCTCAGGAGCAGCCAGCCTGAAGACACTCAGTTCTAAGCAGTGCTTTCACCTGGGATATACTGGGTAGGGCTATTGTTTCCTTTGGAAGCAGGAGAAGCTCCTGTATGTGAGGGGTGACGTGGGCCATCCCTGTGCCAGATGCAAGGAAACTTTCCTCTTATGGCAACCAATCTGAAGGCGCTTCGAGGCCCTTTATTTGGAGAGGGAGATTTGGGTGACTCAGATCTTTGTTTGCTTGGGGGACAGGATGGTTAACTCCAGAAAAACTATTCTGGGGCCGTAGCCATTGCTTGGATAAGGTGGTTAATGCCTTACAGGATTTTAAAATGGCCAGTGGTCATTTAAAGGGGAGAGCGGCAAAATGCTTCCTTCAGAGGATTCCCAGACCAAGAATGGCTGTTTGAGAACCTACATTCATACTTCTAGGCTTCCTGGCTGTCTACTAACACAATTTTCTAAGCCTGACCAAGGATGACTTTGAAACAAGTAAAGCAACAGAGGAAAGACTGTTATTGAGTAATTACCTACTGAGCATCTTTATTCTTGCAGACTCTGCCAGAATGTTACCAGATATTTCTGGCAGTATAAGCCTTACAACCAGGCTTTCCTTCCCCCTTAACTGAGAAAAGTCAACCTTTTTCTGAGTACTCCAAAAACCTTGCAGTTCTCCTAAATTTACATTTTTACTGAAATTGTCTGCTTATATAATTATCTTCTCATCTAGACTACAAGAGGAATTATGTCTTTTATTAAAAACTGTTTGCTGAATTGAATTTAACCCTGGGACAGGCAGAAACAATGATCTGGTTTTTCAATGACGTGTGCTGAGGGTCAGGAGAGTTCCAGAGGTGAGCACATGTAGCCGCGCGCAGTGGCGAAGGTTCAGCTGCCACAAGTTCAGGTTTCCTGAAACAGCAGATAAGCATGTCGCCGTCGCTTGCCAATTTACCCAGGGACTTGGTACCAGAGTCTAAATTCATCTCCAGGATTTTGTGGCGGAAATGTTGGGCTGATCTACCAAAGTGATCTCAAGCTGCTAGAAATAAGATCTTTTGCTCTAGGAAATAATCCAGGTAAACAATAAATTACAGGGCTTCAAATTACAATGTGGGTTAAATGGGTATTTTCCAATACATTGTTTTTGTCTTTCTTTAAAGCTCCACTGATAACTTCTAGTAGAGACCGCATACACAATAGGTGGTATACATGTAGGAGACACTATCACATACTGATAAAGCCCCACCGCCAACCACAGTAGAAGATTCTAGCACAGGAGACTGGTAGACCAGTGCACAATACTAGCCAGTGAGTTTGGGGCCTGGGAATATGCCTTATTTTATTTGTATCCTAATTACCTAGCAAGTCTGGCACATATTGAGAGGTGCTATAGGCTCAGTCTCAGCTCCATTACTTATTAGCAAGTTGCTTAACCTCTATAAAGCTCAGTTTTTTTCATTTGTTAAATGGGAGTAAAGTTGTCTGGGAGGATTAACTAAGATAATATATATAAAACACTCAGCACAGTACCTTAACATTAGGTTCTCAATACATTTTACCTACTATTATTTCTTGAAGAAAGAGAATGCTTTGTAACAATAAAAATTTAAAAAGCATAAGAATAAAACTATGGCACTTCCTCTTAAAAGTATTTTTAACATCTTGAGGCAAGTTAAGGTAATACCAGGTGAGGACATAAAGAACTGGATAACCCTAGTTCTAGAAACTTATTCTAAGGAAATAATCAGAGATGCAGTCAAAGATTTAGACACAAAGATGTTCACCTGAAGCATATGTAAGTATGCAAAAAATTCAAGTACCTAACGTCCAGCAGTAGGAGAGTAGGTAAGTAAGGGTATGTCTAGTACAATAAATATTAGGCAGTTGTTAAAACTCATGATTTCAAAGCACATTTCATGACATGGGAAAAATGCTCATGATATATTATGTAAACCAAGATACAAAATTACATATAATACAATTTTGTTTTAAAAAAAGTCTACCTATCTATTGAACCAGTCTAAACCTACCCACCCACGCATCCATCCATTCACTCTACGGAAACATGCCAAATACGCTTATTTCTGGGTAGAGGATTACGGATAATTTTTTTCTTTATCCCTCCTCTGAATTTTCCATTGTATGAATATGACTTGTTTTTTTTTTTTTTCAATTATGTTATACATTTGTTATAAAAAAAATTCAAATTCAGAAGTAAAAGTATGATGTATATCCCCTTCTCCTATGTGTACCACCTTTATAAGGAAAAAAGTTACTAAAGATGTAAAGAGACATTAAATACCTCTACTACGCCTGAATTTTCATGGTTTGGCCTCACAGTTCCCTTCTGCCATCCAGCTATGAAGCTGGTAGCTTGCAAGATCCTTTTACTACTGCACTCTGTAATAATCTCTAATAAAATGGTAAAAGTGACTTTGAAATGTGTGTGTGTATAAAAAAACATTATTCCCAAAGAAACCCTCAAAAGAGAAAGATTTACTCTACAGGGTTGATACATTTGTCTTCCCATGATCTGTTTCATCTGGGGGTCTCAGTTTCTGTTCAGTGTATCTGATCCAACTATCCTGCTATTTTCCGTAGGAACCCCAAACCTAAGTTTCAACTGACTCCCTAAGGGATTTTACTGACAGCTTTAAGCATTGAAGACTTCTGGGAGGGAAAGAGAGGTGAAATCTCTCTAAGATATACAATACTTGCCACTATTTGAGAGAAGAAATGAGATGAGAAATACATGAAAATTTAGAGCATCTTTTAGAAAACAGTGAATGGGTGTTGTATTAAATGAATATGAAGCAATATGAACAAAAAAGGGCAGTATATCTCTATGTGATAGGTTTTTTGTGCATTTATTTATGGGCCCCAAAGAAAGAGGCAGTAGGGAGGGAAGAAGGATGAGCGTTCTTGCTGACAGAAACAAAACAGCCCACAAATAAGCCCAGCGGATGTCAATGGCCTGGCTCGGTGCCAGGGTGGCACTGCCAGTGTGCTGGCCAGCTCCAGCATGGCACTGCTCTTCCCACAAATGCAAATACACCAGCCAGCTACTGTCTACATCTTTCACAAAATCATTCACTTCCCGTCTGTTTCCTAGTTACGGTAACAATCACAAGCTTTAAAAATAGCTTGCCCTATATAATCCGGCAGACAGAGCCCAATCTATGTTCAGGCCTGATGCCCTCACAGACAAGCCCTTAGCAGATGGCATTTTAATTTTATCAAGGGAATGATTAGATCTTCAAAATAAATGAATTATGTTGTCCCGATTTATGTCTCCATTTCTGGGTGGGAATGCAGCAGCAGTTTATGAGGTTAGCAGCCATGCTAGGCAACTGCAGGCAGACAAAGCAGAGTGTCCACAGGAAGTGGACTCAGCAGGCTCATCCTCAGAGACACAGACACTAACTACTCGGCTTAACACCTGCTTGTGGCAGCCTAGCATCGAGCAGCTGTTCCGGATCTAGCTAAGCTCATTATTTAACTTCTGAATCAGCTCCACCTCCAGTGTTCCCCATTTCTGAACACAGCACTCACCTTCTAGATCACCTAGGCTCTAAACCTTCTTATTAGTTTGGAGTCTTCTTCTTGGACCCTAATATTCTACCAATTTTATCTGCACAATCTCTTTAATGTCATCCCCCCCTTCCAGTTTCATGACCACTGTCCTAGTTCAGATGCTCATCATCTCCTAGACATAGCACGAACCTTCTATTTGCCTTGTCACCAGTCTCTCCCTTATCTGAGCCATGCTACATACCCTTCCAGGCTAATCCTTCTGAAACTTAATGTGGACCATAGTGTTTTCTTGCTAAAAAATATTCCATTTCCCTACTACTTTGGGGAAGTCCATTTGAACAAACTCTCTTGATGATATTAAAACAACCTACACAATGAGAACACCAGCCTAGAGAAAAAGTCTAAAATCCTTGGCTTGCCATTCAAAGCCAACCTATCCATACATACAACTTTATATAACTGCCCTTCATATACACTTTTCCTCAGACAAATGAACTACTGCTATTCCGTAGATGGACCTCAGCTTTCCTAATGCTCTGCTTTTGCTCAGGCTTCTTTCTCCACCAAAGATATCACATCCTAATTTCTACTAGTCCTGTTTCTACTCGCTTCTCAAGTCTCAGCTCTGACAGTTTCCCCAAAGACTTTCCTGATCAAATGAGCTAAAACAAACTCCCTCCTGCCTCCTTCCAGTCTCACCGCACTTTGATTTACATATTTTTAATGGGCCAATCAGATTTCATCTTTTATCAATTTTTTTCAGCACCTGGCACATTGCCTGTAGTTATGTGTATGTTACTTCTCTGGACTACAAACTTTGAGGCAGAATTCATGCCTGACTCATCTTTTTATTACCTAGAGAAGCTAAAAAGAAAGGAAACTAATGTTTATTGAGTACCTACAATCTGCCCAGAATCTCACACACGAGTGCCTCAATTAATTCTCACAACAGTTTCAAGGTGGCATTGTTCTCATTTTACACAAGACAAAACTGAGGTTCAAAGTGGTGAGTCACTTTGTCCAAGTTCACCCAGCTAGTAAAGAGCCGAGTCTACTTTGAACACACTCTACAACCTCTGTTCTCTTCTGATGTTACTATGATCTTCTGTACATCACTCTGTGCTAAGTATAACACACAGAAGATAAATAAATATCCACTGAATGAGAGAAGCTGTCATCTTCCATATCTTAAAAGCCAACTTTCTCCAGTATCTCTCCTTTAAACACAGACAAGAAAGACGGCCTCCCATTTTGTAGCTGTAGCACACCCAGAAGAGAGGTAAAGCTCTATTCAGCACAATAATTTTTTTTGTTTTGTTTTCAGAATTACAATTTGTTGAAAAACAAAACAAACTTGTGACGGACCAAGAAACTTAAAGAGAGAAAGAATGGCTAAGAAAGGTAAAAGAAGAGGGCTTTGGAAAAGTAATTATGAAGGCTGCAAGTTATGTAACAGTTGTAATGACAAGATAGTGACGAGGGCTGAGGCTTCACCCTGGACACTTTTCTTCGGGTCTTCCCCGCACAAACAACACTCCTGAGTGACTTGAGGAAACGACAAAGTTCAACACTTGTGGACCAAATTTCAATCTCTAGCCAAGCTGCAAGCTCTGAGTCTCTCAAACACGTCCGTACCTTTGGAGTATCAACACACTCTTCTTCCATAAACGCTGCCTCTGCCTGACAGCCAGAGGCTGGAAATGAAAAGGCCTCCACATTGGGTGCCTGTGAGAGGAGGGTGGATCTCATCAGTCTCATGCTCGGTGAATGTATGTTCACTGGCAGTCCCACAGTTTGTGCCTGTAAATATGGCAAGAACAGACAGTTCGGGAACATTGATACTTTCTACATGAATACACCAAGTTCTTAGAATAAAACAATTCTTTCTAGTGCAACTTAATGACAAACAGTTATCTGCTGGAAATTCCAGAAAAGTTCGGATATTCTGGAAAAGTTGGGACAGATATTGATATGAAACAGTATCAGAGGTCAAGTATTCTGAAATGGGTTGACAGAATTTCATTCCTGTCCCAAGAGGAGGTGTGTCACTTTCACGTAGATGCCAAGAAGTAGTCTTTGTAAGGGATCTAAGAAGGCTCTTTTTTTCAACTCATCAAACTTCTATTGTCTGCTTCCTTAAATACATTATCCTAGAAAGATGAAAGCCGAACAAACCCGACTCTAGGAGCTCAAAACTGAGCCCAGAGCTAGGTACACACACCCACAATTAACGACAACACAAGGCACACTGAAATAAGTGCTCTGTATCTGTCCTTATGTTTTGAAGGGGTGAGATGGTATTATTTCTTGGCCTCATTTGGGCATGACAAAAAAACAAGGGTGCTTATGAAGAGGAAGAGAAGAAGCAGAGTTACTGGTGGTGACAGGAGTGGCCCCCTTCCTCCAAGGAGATGCACAGCCTGAACATAGCCTGTGGGCCCTGCTGGAGGGAAGATGCTTATTACTGAGCAAGTTATGATCCTGAACTCAACCTACTACAGAAAGCTCCTGAAGGTTTTGTTAAGTCCATTTTTCATGTCTCCTTTTTAAGCATTCTAAGTAAAACAGCATTACAAAGTCTTAAAAACAACAACAACAACAACAAAAACCTTCTCTTCTGACAATTGGCAAGGACTGATTTTAAAGATGAAACTGTTGAGAGGATTCTTTCTTCCCCACCCCTTCAAAACTAGCAGAACAATGTACTAGATGTGTTTTGAATGTAACAGACACTGCAGAACATCTGAGGGAAGAATCACTATCATGCTGAACTCTAAAGGCAGAGGAATGGCCTGCGGATTTTTCCTGCAACAGTCACATCAAGGGACACAGGATGGTAAGTTTTAAATTCAAATAAATAAAAGGAACAAAATGGTATGAGATTTTAGCTTCCTCTCTCCCAAAACCTGGACTTCACCACTTACTAACTGTGCTATCTTAATCAGAATACTTAACTCTCTGAATCTTATCTGTAAAAAAAAAAAAAAAAAAGGTGGGGGGGCAGATCTACTTCATAGTGAAGTTAGGATAGTAAAAGGTAGTACGTAAAGTACTTAACTCAGGAAATGCAATTCCTCCTTTCCCCTTCTTTCTAAAGTCTTAAAATGATCAGAAGAATTTAATATAAGAATTAGACCACAAAATGAATGTATACTCTTCTTCTTATTTACTATCTAATAGATGCCAGTTAAAATTTCAGGTTGATGTTTTTCAAGGATGTGGGGATATGTTAGAAAAGGTGACTTTATATTTGGTATATTTCAATGTTGATATCATTTGATATACTGTATGAGATAAAGGAATAAAACAGCAATAGAAAAGTATTAGTATTATGTGGATGGCGCTCTGGTGGCGTAGTGGTTAAGAGCTTGGCTGCTAACCAAAAGGTCGGCAGTTCGAAGCTACCAGGGGCTCTCTGGAAACCCTATGGGGCAGTTCTACTCTGTCCTATAGGGTCGCTATGAGCTGGAATTGACTCGACAGCAATGGGTTTGGATAGTAAAACAGAAAGAAAATACTGCCTACTATTCTGAGCACGATAAAGAAATAACTGTTTTTATATCACCATTCCTCAAGCTTATATTCCAGGCCACTTTTGAGGCTAAACAACTTTTTTTCCCCTTTCAAGCATTAGTCATTTAAATTAATTTTCCCACCACTGTCACAAGGTAAACTTCCTAAAAAGTACATCTGGTACATTCTTCTTATCCCCATCATTAGCTTTCCAATCAGAGGGTAAAACTAAAGTTTGATTTTTGTCTCTACAACTTTATTAGACTGCTCCTTCTACATAAAAGCAGTCAATTCTTAGGGCAAAGCATTACCTGAAGATACCATACTGGGAATATGATTTCAACATGATAACTATGATGTACTGTTCCTTCTCAGTCCCTGTCTGCTGTCAGCTGGGAGTTTTTAATTGGCAGATCGTGCTGTGCCAGACCAAGCATAGCACATTTTCCTTGACAACTTCACCTCCAACCTGTACTACATAACTTACCATGACTGTGATGAGGACAGAGGACTAACACATTTCATTGTGACAGTCACTTCATAGGGTAGGTTTTAGGAGTCTGCTTTTCAGGAATAGTATTAGCATAGTAATAGCCAAAACCAAATCTGCTGCTGTTGAGTCGATTTCGAATCATAGCGACCCTATAGCACAGCAGCAGCATGCACTAAAGAAGTCTTTGTCGAACAAGGTAGGTATACACATACAAACGGCAGGCTCACCACACAGAGTTGACTAGAGAACATGTTATCATAATAAATAGATGGTTAATTAACATCCCAAGGAAGCAGATGCTACTAGCTTCTCTCTCTCACTCTTTTTTTTTTATGTCAAAGGGTTTTTATTAGAATTGGGGCAAAACAGTTTCTTACACAAAGGTTACATATTTTATAATACTGAGTCTCCTGTCTCTGGAAGGACTCTCTACTTACAGAGTTAATCTTTATATTCTTTATTATAGTTTCGTACTTACTTCTCATTTAATACTTATGTTTCTGATCAATTTATTTAACACAAACACACACACACACACATACACATACGTACATACGGACTGACAGTGGCTACAACGATGGACTCAAACGTAGCAACACTTGTCAGAATGGTGCAGGACTATACAGGATTTGTTCTGCTCTACATAAGGTCGCCATGAGTTGCAGCCGACTCGATGGCACCAAACAACAGTAATATATATACATATATTTACGGTTCTATTTCTAACTCATTATTATTCCCATAAAGGAAAGCTACTAAATTTGTGTACACTTACTTATATATAGCCATTTCAGTTTGTTGCATCAATTCTAAAACTCTTTGAGCATCCTAGACTTTCTAACTGTACAGTCATATCTACAGTCCATCTCCCAATATTTATACCATTTGATTTTCCTATTTTATTACATAACCTTGAACAGTTGTCTTCAAATTGATGTGCATGTATCTGAGGTATACAAAGACTCTGCCAGTAGTATATTGGCAGGGAAGCTTTACCAGTCAGTCAGTTTTTTCCTAAAACTGATGATCATTTGTTTCCCCTTCTCGTACCTGGAAAGGGACTTTTCGGTAATGTTACTCAGGAATGTAGTTAAGCTCTCCAGTTATCTAGCCCATCCTTCATTTTACAGTCTAAGAAACTGAGTCCCAGTGAGATTGTCCAACACCTACTGGGTCCCACAGTTCCACATTACCTTCCTTTTCTTTGGTAGAAAAATTTATGTAAATTATGGGTTCAGGATTTTAAAAAATGATTCTAATTTTTAAATTTTTAATTATATCAAGAAAATAAAGTTAATTATTAGCATTTAGTTGCCTCTGTTTTCTTGTAGTCTAACTTACCTCATTTCTTAGGATTATTTATTTTCTCATTGATTTCCTTAATTTTTACTTTATGCATCTGTGTAAGAGTTTTTTAAATATTTTATTTTTTGTTGTTGCTACTGAGAATATACACAGCAGAACATATACCAATTCAACAACTGCTATATGTGTTACCAGCTTCTTTAAGAGTGGTAGTAAACAATGATTTTGTCCACCTAACTGTGGTAACTTTTTAGGCCATATGTTTTGTCTTGAATCTCTTCTAACTGTAATTTCCAGAATCAGTGAAACAAACAAACAAAAAAATGTTCTCCCCTATGGGAAAATCTTTACTGCTCCTACAGGAATACGCTTTTTCCTATAGTTGCAGAGGGCAACCTCTAATTAGTAATTAAAGGGAAACTGGGAAGAGTGTCCAATTCTTGTCTGCTTACAGTTGATGGAAACTCAAAGCAGAAGGACTGTTAGAAAGTAGTGGTTAGAATAAGAAAAAGCCATGACATACATAAATAGTTGCCTGAAGTAAATTAGATGCAACATTTCCTACATGTTATATAGCAAATAAGCATTCTAAATCTAAGATGGGGATCTCACTTTTTTCTAAATAACAATGGGCACTTGGGACTGTGCCTGGCACATACTAAGCACTCTGTTGAACTGAACTGCTGGTGCAGGTTAACTATCTTTATAGCAATCTTATGAAGCAGGCATTGCTATTTCTATTTTATATTTAAAGACACTGGGGCTCAGAGATGCTGACTTGCCCCAAGGTACTCAGCTCAGTTTGGAACTCAAGGTCTGCCTAATTCCAAAGCTCATGTGATCTTCGTACGGGATCATGTGGCTCCCCCAATTTCTTATTGCTATATCAGGTAACAAGTGATTTGCCGCTTCTTAAAGAAAATCAGAACATCAAAGAATTAAAGTGAAAAGGCTCTATTAAAGCTTTATGCATATTTATATCTACAAAAACAAAAAATCTACTTTTTAAGAAGTTCAACACTAAAAATTAGAACATAAAATTTGTCCACAGTGGCTATCGCTTAGCATCTAGAAGGTGCTCAAGACAAGTTTGTGAATGAGCATTGAAAATTTTACTTGAATTAAGACACATTTTAAATTACAGTAAGTAGGTTTCTATGACAACTTAGGTCAATCATAAAGTGAAAAGAACTCATGGGGTGTTTGGTAATTAAAGAAAATTCTCAAATGTAAGAAGCTATGTTAAACATCTGAACTCCAGGGCAGAAGAAAATAAAATCTGAGATATCCCTGGGAATTTGCTTCAAGTTTAGATAGGAAAGGCTATCATTTACAATAACATATGCACGTGCCGGAACAATTGTTTAAGTAACCCCTTACCATTCCCTTACTTGTGTAATGTGTAAGAAGAATAAAGAGACTTGGGAGGGAAAGCCTGCTGCAGCACTGGGCCTTTCCTGCTTCCAACCCTTTAGTTTGGCATTTTTAAGAGGGTAAAGGTACCATTACATCTTACTACTACTACCCCAACCTAAGAATTCTCACTTGATCCCCTTCTCTATGTCTTGAAAGCAATATCATTTAGCTTTGAAGGTTCCCAAGTGCTCAACGATACTCTAATAGAAATACATGGAATTGTATCAATGCATTAGTATCAACAGTCACATTAGGATCAATACACTATTCTATATACAAAAGTATGTGTAACAAAACATACAAAGTCAAAACTCTTCTGCTCTTACTTCCACTTTGAATAAAATTACATAAGTGGATGGAAATCCTTATACATACAATTATTCCTCTTCTCAATTTCTATATAGATGATTCCTCAAATTTCTTTAGTCCCTGCCTCTCTCTTGGGGTCCAGATCCACATCTTCCTCCTGAGCAACTGAGTCAATGCCTTCGTTATTCTCTCAGCCCAAGGCTCAAGACTGGAGTCATGTCTAACTCATGCTGTCCCTTCCTAACACTAACTTATCAATTTATGTAGCAAATACTTACGTAGTACTTACTATGTGCCAGGCACTGTTCAAAGTGCTTCATAAATATTAACTAAATTAATCCCATAACATCCTATTATTATCCCCATTTTACACGTTGGGAAACTGAAGTACAGAAAGACCGTAAGTAACTTTTTTTAAGGCCACACAGCAGTAAATGGCAAATATGGGCTTTGCTTGAGATCCTGCTTTTAACCACCATGCTGAGCTGCTTTGCCAAACCACTGCTAAGTTCACAGAGTCCACCTCTGATATTGTCCTTGCATTTGTCCCTGCCTTTCTACTTCCATCATCTCCATATTAGTTTATGCCTCCAGTATTTCTCATCTAAGTGACCATAATAATCTCTTAACTGCTCTTTCCAAATTTCCTCCCTTCCCAATTCAATTCATCCTTCTTAAGTTACCAGATTAATTAGCATGGCTATAATTTCATCACTTTTTTGCTTAACAGCCTTCAGTGGGTCTCTACTGCTTCCTAAAACATAAGTAAACTCTTTACCTAGGCATTCAAAGCCCTCTACAATATGGCTTCAACTTACACTCCAATATTTTCACTTCCCCATACTTCAATTCAAGTGGACTAATTTGAACAAATCTTACACTTATGCCCACTTGAGTATTTTTGCTTATGCCACATCCTCTGCCTACACATAATGCTTCAACTACTGCCTCTTCCTAACAAATTCCTACCCCTCTGTGAAGATCTGTCTTACATGACATCTCTCCCACGAAGCTTTTCCCACTCAGATGCATCTCTCTCTCCCTTGCCCTTAGTTCTCCTACGGCACTTACCTTCCTCTGGTGTGTCTCATGGTTATTTATGATCTTATCTCCCTTCTATCCTGTAATGCCTCTGAGGGCAGTGACTGTGTTTTATGCATTCTATTCCCTAGTAATAGAAGCTTGTCCTAGTGCCTAGTAACAGAAGCTTGCATATGGTAAATCTATAAAAACATTTGTTAAATTAAAAAAAATTTTTTTGAAATTGAATGTATAGACTAGTTACATTAATTCTTTACATAAGTGAATGGTAAAAAATGAAAAATCTCTTTAAGAAAATAAACGTTTCAAATAAAATTAATCCTTAAAAATAAGAAAGTACAAAAAAGATTGGCGAATCCAGTGAAAAGCAGAGGCAGAAACTTCAGAGAATAACGGAGTACACAGGGTGAAATCCTAACCGTTCGCACTACAAGATGAAAAATGTGTCAAACATGTGAACAGGCAGAGGCACAGATAAGACTATTGGCTAATGGGGTGTTACCTTGGCAACTGTTTGTTCGGCAATGGTGCTGGGCCGACGCTGGCGGGCGTCAAGTCTCTGCTCCACAGGAAAACTGCTCCTGTGTGACTTCAGGCGCTCCACCAACAAGTAATAAATGGCAGCAAAGTGGTTATAGCTCTTGTTCTGTAAAGACTGAAAGGAGAAAACAAGCGCTGAAGGCAGAGAACCATAATCAATCAATCCAATGATTTCCACCTTTCTAAACAAGAGGGAGGAAATCATGTGTTCTTACAGCTGCAAACGAAGTATGCCTCAAAACGAAAGCTGTTCCAGAATTTAGAATGGAAGACAGAAAATCTGAAGTCTCTACATTAATTAAATAAAAAGCGATACCTTTAAATGACCTCACTGGCCCTTTTACATTAACAGGATCCGTCTACCTTTTGGCATTCGGAGAAAACGCCATCATTGTCTCACAGAGACACTCCCCAACGTTGTCATATGGTCCCATCTCATAGCTGTAACTATGAGTAAGGTTCTAATTCCATAGCTTCAACACAAATCTCAACCATTCAAAACTCTGAAGTGAATGATTAAAAGTCTCTGGGGGGCTTTCTGATGGTTACTTTGGCCTGGAGAATGACATCTGGATGCTAGACTGAAAGTCACTGTGTCTCTGTTCTTAGGTAATTTTTTCCCCTTGTTTTTACAGTCTCACCCTCTGAAACCTTGAAAATAAAGTTGCTTCCCAATTTTTCACATCTGTAGCCTGCCAGCTTTCCCAGGATACTAATGGAGCAGAGAAACACGGAGCAACACGGCTCCTTTGGCTTACGAGTACATCCAACAATCTGCATGAGTGCTGTACAGGGCACCGCAGATGCAGGGCACTCTCAGCAAAGCCAGCGGGCCAGCAGAGCCTGCACTCACAGCTGCTGCTCTGGATTCACTTCATGGGCAAGTGGAGAAAAACATCACTGAGTGCATAATGAGCAATGCAGGAAAGCCAGTTTGGTTTCACTGATGGCTACAATGGGGGGAAAGGCAGCATGCTCTGGAGCTTTGTTTTTCCACAGCAACCAAGGAGGCATTTTGTATTCTTGCTTGTTATGCTTCTTCCTTAGAAGCACTGTTTTTGTTTGTTTGTTAACTGTTGTGGAAGTATCAAAAAATATGTATATCGTATGAATGTGCTACTAGAGGACAGGAATAAGAGCCAAGAGGAATTTTCCAGGTTCATGGCCTATTCTCAGTTCTATGACCCCTAATATTTCTAAATTAGGAATCCACCTGTTTTTGCCTTCTCATTTTCCCTACTTCACAGTCTAAATTCCACTGGCTTTCTTAAACCTGATGCCTACCCGCCTCCTGGTTTCCTGCTCAGCCCTCAGCCTAGTTCCCTATCTGTACATTGACCGATCACACAAACTAGTTTAATATAAAACTTCAGGCTTCATCTTGGAAGAAAATTTCTACTTTGTATTTGTTACGCTTCCATCTTTGCTTTTTCTGAGTCTCTGTAACCCCTTGACCTTGAATATTTTGACAGATGGGGCCGAGAAAAGAAATTTGTACACTGAATAAAAGCAAATATAAATAGAGTCTGATGTAGTCTACAGGGCAAACTGAACAGTACACCTAGGTGCTTGGAATGGACCTGGTGAAAGACTAGGATGACAGGTGGAAGCATGAAATTTCAAGTTACTAAGTGTAACAGAATTCTAAAATAATCTCTGATCACTTTACCTCAATGGTTTTCTGTTGATCTATTCCAAGGCTGTGCATCAGTCGCAGAACCTGCTCATTAAACTCCCCAATGGATGGCTCATTTTCTTGACCTTGTGGATAGAGAACAGGTCTCTGTACTGGAACTTCTACTAGCATCCATTTATGCTCCTTGATTTGAGCTATGGTTAGCCGTTTGGATGGGTCTAGGACCAACATCCTGCGAATGAGGTGCTCACAATCTAGAGAAAACACAATGTTATAAAAGTCGCATAAATCACCTTGTACTTCAGTGTATTTGCCTGACTCATGTGACTATGTACAACGGCTTTAATCTTTGTACCCTCCAGTGCTCATTGCCGAGCAGGAGCTCAAATAAATAAATGGATACATGAAGGTTACTTCTATTTGCCAAGTTCACATGATGAATGAATACGTAAGGAAAGCAGGACGGTGTGGATCTATCCAATTCAAGCTAAATGAATCTTTCTACTAACTGAGTTTCTGAACTCAGTTAGTAAAATTACTAATTAATATTAACTCAATATCTAGACACAAACTTGTATTTCCACCAAAGAAAAAACAGGCCTCATTCTTAGAACAAGCAAACAATAAACTGATCCATAGTCACTTCTAAGGCAGATACACTGAGGCTATGGAAGTGTGGCAAACAGCTCTCCAATGGACTGTTGCTTTTCTCCACATCAGTACAGCTGAGAAAAATGTGCGCAAAACATTGCTTACTTCTGATTACACTAAGAAAACTGCACTCCTGCAACCGTGGGCACTAGCTGATCTTCTGGGCTCGCGTCTTGTTCCTCACCACCCCTATATAAACAAATCCCCACCTAAGTGGCTCACTATGTGTCAGGCACTGTGCTATGACACTGTATATAGATAAATTTAGTTCATCCTCACAAACCCCTAGGGTAGGAACTATTGTTATTTTCATTTTACAGATGAATAAACTGAAGTACAAAGAGGAGATATAACTTGGCAAGGTTACACAGCCTTAAGTGGCCGACTCAGGATTCAAACCAGGCTGTCTGGCTCCAGAGTCCATGCTCTTAGCCACTAACAGCATTATTTCTACTGTTACTAGGAACAAAAGAGTTAAGAATGATAACCAAGAAACTCAACTAAGGAGTAAACTGCCTCTATGTAACAAGACTGGCAGGGATTATGGTGTGTTATCTTAATTCAACAGAGTATTGCCACTTGCTTTTTAATTTAATTAAAAAAAAATTTTTAAGTTTGCAGCTTTCTGCTAAAGGAAGTAGGAAAATACATTTTAAACTTAAAATTGGAAATTGTCTCACCTACATGGAGGGGGCTGTTTATTTCTAAGGCTTTTAAAGTTACTCAGTCATTTTATTTGATGCTGAAACTCTTAGAAAAAGGGAAGCTTTTGCCTAGGCATCTCATCCAGAGCTCAGATTCCCAAAAGCACAATTAGTAAGATAAACAGGTTGTTACCTTCTGACATGAAATATGGAATCCGGAATCTTCCTTCCAGAACCCTCTGCCTCAAAATTGGAAGAGTCGGTCCATCAAAAGGCAGAGCTCCACAGACAAGGACATAAAGAACAACTCCCATGCTCTAGGGAAGAAAACAAGGTAGTCACATTGCTACCAAGAACTTGGAACACTCTTTGCTTTCCTACACAGGGTTCTTAAAATTATATATACTGAAGAAAATTCCTGTTCAAATTTAGTTTTTTCTCAGAATTTGAAAAAATATGAAACCCTGGTTATTGCATTAAATTGTCCTATAATAAATACTAAAAGATCTGAATTTAATCATTTTGATTTCTATTTAATTTTAAATTATTACGGATATTAGGATGATAATATTTGTCCCTAGAAATTCTTTCCTCAAGATATAATTCAAGATGCTTTAACAAATTACAGTCCAATGGATGGGGAAAATAATGAAATACTACCCAAGCATTAGGTACCAAGAGCTCCTAAATTGGGCTCAAGTACTGAGTATTATCATTATGGATGCATTTAACCCAGCAAAGCAAAGAAATACCCAAATATCCAGCTGTGGTCCTTCATACTGCTGCCCTTCAAAGACTTCTGGGGCTGCATAAGGGGGGCTGCCACACCATGTTGCCAGCAGTTCACCACTTTTAAAGAAATTTCCAAAACCGAAATCTATTGGGAAGGAAATAAATGTTACTTTCCTCTGTGTTCTCAAACTATACTGAATTTCTCTGTAATAAATGTTACAATATGCTGTATTTACAATGTCAATACTGTTTGCTTTGTGAGGATTGGGATGACCTCTATCTTGTTATGTTTTCCTAGCACTTAGCACAATGACTAGCAAATAGTGAGTACTCAATAAATACTTGTTGCATGAATGCATAAGTGAACCAAGTTTTCTTCTCAAAGAAAGTGAGAAAAGAGTTAGAATAAACCTTAAATGATATATTTTTACAGTAGAAAGAAAATCCATTGGTGTAGACAATCAACTTGAATTCGATAATCTTAGAATTCCAGTTACCCAACAATTGATCAATAGCTCTTTATCTTATATGGTCTATAAGAAATGAAATAAATGAGTAAAACTCAAAGATATTTACTTAAACACAACGCAGTGGCTGGCTGCTCTCACAGTCATTACACCAGAGTAGCAAGACATAACTTTAAAGGCAACTGAGTATAGTGTTTCCTAAGTTACAACTCTGTAGGTGCTGGTCCGTACACCTGATTAGGCAGATACCCATCTGAACAGCTCAGCCACACGTCACCTATTACCAGTAACACTTATTTACTCATTTAGGGAATGCAGTGGCATCATATTTGAGAACAGTTAATGGCCTTTCCTTACAATCTTAAGTCATACTGAATTTGTAGCTTTGATACACAGAATGTACTCTGGAGATACTGTACTAAGATGTTTTTAACACACATGGAAACTAAAGGCAGAAAACAAATTCAGTTAGCTATGGCATGAATGGAAGCTCTCAGCCTTCTGCTATGACTTCTTATAACCTCATGCTCTTAACTGAAGAAACAAATTCCTCATACTTTGTAAGTTACAGCCATTGTTATAGATGGAACTGTGTCTCCCCAAAATACACGCTGGAGTCTTAATCCCTATACTTGTGGATGTAAAATCCTGTTAAAAAACAAAACAAAACAGCGTTTTCTTTGCTATGCGAATGAGGCCATATCAGTGTCCAGTATGTCCTAAGCCGAATCACTCCAGTGTTACGGCAGCAGCAGACACAGAGAGAGACAAGAACAAAAATGGGGGGAGACAGATGCCATGCACATGAAGACTGCTAAGGAACGTTGGGGCTACAGAAGCAGTGCTTGAGAGCTCGGCTGCTAACCAAAAGGCTGGCAGTTCAAATCCATCAGCTGCTCCTTGGAAACCCTATTGGGCAGTCCTACTCTGTCCTACAGGGTTGCTGTGAGTCAGAATCAACTCAACAGCAGTCGGTCGGAAGGAAACTGAGACACCCATATTTCCTTATGTCGTTATACACTCCTGACTAAAGAACACGCCTCAGTGACAGGAACTGGCTCTACCCTCAGCTGGCACATGGAGGGTAAGCTTTAAGTGATGCCCCAGGGGGATCGGATCAAGTCTCCAGTGCCAGACTGACTGGCCGTGAGACCTCGGATCAGTCTCTGTGAGTCTTAGCTTCCCCATCTGCAAAGCTGAAATAATAAATCTACCTAATTAGCAGGTTGTTGTGGGGATCAAATGAGTAACGTAAACTCACAAATAATATATACCTATATATACACATGTACTTCGAGACTATACATACACCCGTACCTCAGGTGAAGTATTCCATTAGCTAGCTGACATAAAAACTAGTGCAAGCAGTAATAACAGTAGTAACTAACAGTCCCAATCACCATGAAAGAGTACTGCCTGTGAAGTCAGATGGAACCACAGCTGGTTTCCAGTTTTGACACTTTCTAGCTTCAAGCCCCCTAGGTAAGTTATTTAACTTCATTTAACTTCTCTGAACCTTATTTTCCTTATCTATAAACATGGGAGTAATACAACCTACTCAGAAAGGATGTTGTGGGGATTAAATGAGATTAAGAATATAAAATGCCTCGAACATAATAAACGTGCATTGCTCAATCCTTTCTCCTATGTGAAACCACCATTACTGACCACTGCCTTCCAGAGAAAAAGGCCCTGAGAAAATATACAGGAGGGGGCAGAAGTGTAGAGGGAGCTTAAGGGCTCAGAAGAGAAAACAGAGTGCGTCTTGGCAGAACACCACTGCGGTCGGTCCTTGGCATCCAGGAGTGTGAGGCAAAACCAAAAAAAAACAAAACAAACCCGTTGTCATTGAGTCCATTCTGACTCATAGAGACTCTATAGGACAGAGTAGAACTGCCCAATAGAGTTTCCAAGGAGCAGCTGGTGGGTTAGAACTGGTGACCTTTGGGTTAGCAGCCAAGCAAAGGAGATGCCAATGAGGACTTCTGCTCCCTTCACAATGTGGCCTCAGTTTGGTCCTATACTAGTTTTCCAAAATGACTATCAGGGAGGTCTTTTCTTCTAAATTCTGCCTCTATGACTAACCACATTATAACTCCTGTGTACATATAGGTACTTCAGAATTATTAAGAAAAACTATACTCTCTATTAGTTAAGGACTAGATGTTCAAATAAGATTTAAAGAGGAAAACGTTAGTTTTGCTCAAATGGTAAAGCATATAAAGACACTCTGGGATGTGTGTTTGGAAATCCTGAAACAGGTACAATAAATGCTGCACTTTAAAAAATATCACAGGATTAGTTTTAACACATGTAAGTTGAGGACACTGTCCAAACAGCACTGTTAAGTATTAGGGTCTCAAGGGAGCCATTACAGAGCTACTTCATTCTGAACTTCCCCATACTCTGGAAAATGAACCCAAAGGAGTGACGGACACAGAGGCCTATCAGGAAGGCAGCCAGTCCTCCTCATCGCCTTATGTTCTCTCACTGGTGCACTTCATAGGCTAAGAGAGCCAAGAGCCAGGAAAGCATCACAGTGCCTGTGGTAGCCCAGCTTCAACCCTGGCTTTTCATATCTAGGATAAAGAAAGTTTCCCATTAACTTACAAGAAGAGTGGTACTAAGCTGCTGTTTACTTCTGTTTTCGGTAGGTAAATGAGGAAAATAGGATGACTTGAGTCTGTAGGAACACTTTTTTCCAAACACTGAAAGAAAATCAGGCTCACTAAAGCTATAGGGTCGCTATGAGTCGGAATCAACTCGATGGCATTGGGTTTGGTTTTGCAAAGCTATTACAATATCACATATGTAGAATACTTCTATAATCTTCTCAAAGCACTTACAACATTCTATCTGTTATTATCTGATGTACTGGCTAAGGAAGACTTTGGATTCAGGCAGATCTGGCCCTTTGCTAATGATGTCTGGACACTTATAATTTACATAACTTAATTAGAATGACAGTATTAATAATTGGTGTTTGTTATCAGGAAGATACAGTCCTGGATCTTCTGTTTATTAACTGTATGATCTTGGGCAAATTGCTTAACTTCTCTGAGCCTTGGTTTCCTTTTTTGCAAAATGGGGACAACACCTACACTTTCTAAGACAGTTGTTAGTATTGATGTAAAGAGAATGCATACAATGCTTTAGGCATGGTAATGAAACATAGTAGGCGCACAATAAATGACAGCTATTACTGCTCTTATTATTCTTATTGTTTTACTTATATGTATCCCCTACCGGACTTAAATTCCTTGAGAGTAGAGAATGTTTATACTCCCAGAATTAGCACCATGTCTACAGATAATAGTTGTTCAACCAATGTCTGCTGAATGAATATGTTGTCATTATTATCTCTTTCAAAAGTGCTTACAATGCCTGACAAGAATCTAATAACCAAAATACATATAAAACTTCAACAATCTAACAACAAAAAGACAACCCAATCATCAAATAGGCAAAGGACTTGAATACATATTTCACCAAAGATGACATCTGAATAGCCACCAAACACATGAAAAGATGCTCAGCATCATTAGCCATCAGAGAGATGCAAATCAAAACCACAGTGAAATGCCATTTCACTCCCACTATGATGGCTAAGATAAAAAAAAAAAAAAAACAGAAAATAACAAATGTTGGCGAGGATGTGGGGGAGATTGGAACCCTTATCCACTGCTGGTGGGAATGCAAAATGGCACAGCCATTGCGGAAAACAGTGTGAGGCTTCCTCAAAAAAATAAAAATAGAACTATCATATGACTCAGCAATTCCACTTCTAGGTATATACTCCAAAGACTTAAAAGCAGAGACTCAGACAGAGACTTGTACAGCAATGTTTATTGCAGCACTATTCAAAACAGCCCCAAAGTGGAAACAACATAAGTATTTATCAACAGATGAATGGATAACAAAATGTTGTACATACATACAATGGAACACTACTCAGCCAATAGGAGAAATGATGTCTTGATACATGTTACAGTATGTATGGAGTTGAAGACATTATGGTGAGCAAAATAAGCCAATCACAAAGGACAAATATTGTATGACCTCACTTATACAAAAAGACAAGAAAAGGCAAATGTATGGAGACCGAAGTTTATTAGTAGTTACCAGGAGCAGGAGGGAGAGGGAAAATGAGGGTTAATGGTGATGGAAAAATTGCACTGATTAAGGGTACGGTTGCATGTTGCATAGCCAATTATTCTAATTGCTGTCAATAAGTTATATGATAGATGTATTTACAACAATCAAAAAAAAAAGAATAGCTGCTGAGGCTGCTTACATACAACCAAATACCTCATAGGATAGGATCTGGTTCCTTGGGTTGGAGGTTTAGGGTCACAGTTTCATGGGACATTCCAGTTAACTAGCCTAATAACATGTTTAATGCTTCTGTTCTACCTCCCAGTTCACTGTGTAGTACCTGGGGTCTTAAAAGCTTGCAAACAGCCATCTAAGGAACAACAATTGGTCTCTACACACCTGGAGCAACAGAGGAAGGAGGAAAGTCAGGAACAGGAGGAGGATGTGGAATATGTGGTTAACTGCCTTCAAGAACAACTGCCTCCTTTGCATGAGACCAGAAGAACTGGATGATACCTGGCTACCATGACTGTACATTTTGATCAAAGATTCCATAGAATAATCTTGATCAAAAGGCAGAAAA